TCTGCACTCACAGACGGAAAATTACCAAACTGTTGATAGATGGTTAACAGGTGCAGGCTAATTATGCTAATCATGGCAACAGCCAAATAAACTGATTGCCATGTTCATTTAAATGACAGCAATGTTCCTTTGGTGGCTAATTAAAGCAGGTTTGGAGAAAAGGAAACGAGGCGGCTGGGTTTCGGAGAGAGGGAGGCGTTTAAATAAAAGCCTACTCTGGGGTCTACTGTAATAAGCTGTATTTCATTGGTTTAATGATGTCATAATGAATTTCTAATGAAGGGGGATGGGTTAAGGTGCAAACGGAAAGTGTGGCGGTATGTGCACGAAACCATAGATTTTACATCTGCAAAAAGAGTGCTAACAAGGGAGCAGGAGTTAATGATGTATGTGGCATCGGGTGCTCCTGGAAGAAATGTGTAAAGTAATGAAAATAAAAATTAGTAGAGGACATCAAGCAGGTTATGTGCTCCATTTGTTTTAATACTGGCTCCAATCGGAAGGGGAAAGAAGGTTCTGAAGGCGCTATTACTTTTTATCAGCACAAGGACCCGACAATCTCTATCTCCCTTTTTCCTGTGACCCGGCAAAAGGCATCATTAGTGGAACCAGAGGCCACAAGAGTTGACCTCTGGGTCCCCTGACAGCCAGTGTGGAGGTAGAAAGGTGAATAAGGTCTGATTAATGTTTATAGAAGCAGCAGGTATTGAAAACCCCTCAGCTTACCCTTTACACCTTTGTCTTTATTCTATTTTGAACTCATAACTGTTAGTGTTAGCACTTTTTTGTCAGCTACCAGGGTTTTGGCACATATAATTAAAATTATATTTATTTTTAATTCAAATTTAGTTACATTTAATATACAAATTCACAGCAAAAGCCATCTAAAGTAAAAATAAATAAATAAATAAATAAATAAAATACTAGTAAATAAAAATCAGGGGGAAAAAAAAAACATACAGGTCCAATTTAAATCAAATTACCGGTACAGACAACTCAATTCATCATATTAAATCCAATGTCTTCTGATACAATTTGAAAATAACTCAGATTAAAATGGATTGTAATTTGAATTAAAATACACAAATTTTCAAGTCAACCCATTTATAAAGCAACACAATTAGGCCTGTTGCGATAAACAATAAGTCAATTAATCGCATGATAAATGAAAATTATTGACCACATTTTAATTTATCGGCTTTATTGTTTCTTAGTGTCTCTCTCTTTCTACTGGAGACACTGGATGACAAAAGGCTCAACTCCAGTGCTCTTCACTGACCCCTCCCTTTCTCTTTTCTCTTTAAAATCTGTTTTAACCGTCCAAAATTGCGTTTTTGGATTGTTTAAAGCAGCTGAGCTTAGAAGCTAAGCTATGAGCTAACTTGTTTATTTATTTTTTATTTAAAAGCTTTGTGTGAAAAATGCTATGCAAAAGAGCTCAAACCACACCGAGCATCTCCCATTTTGAGAACGAAAAAAAGGAAGGAGAGACAGCCCGTGTCATGTCAAGGGGCCTCCCACCCATTTTTCTTAAAGAAACACGCTGCTCGCTCCCTCACTAGCCATCCTTCGGTTCAAACAGTTTTATACTACCATCCGGTGGTTGAAAAAAGGTACTACACACAAAACAAATTAACCAACATTTATTCTTAAATTTGACAATAATTACTAATTATTGTCAAATTTCAAACAATATTATCATTTATCACAATAATTTCTGAGACAATTAATCGCCCAGCAATATTTGTTATTGTGACCGGCCTAAACACAATACATTACAACCTAATTTAACAAAAGGAAATGAACATTAGTAAGAAGTTCTCCAATCATCAAATCAGATTGGATCTTTGCAAATATATATTTTAGTTTTATTTTTTAAGACCAATAGTGTTATTTGGGACAGAGTCCTCCATCAATAAAAGCTTAACTCTTTATTTTACATTTATGTTTCTTTAGTGAGTCACAGTTGGTTAAAATGTTTACATGTGTTCTAGTGTTTGAATCTAAACTGTATATTGGAGACATGATAAAGACAACACGTTACATGTTATTACTAAGCTATTCTTTCAACTTTGTACAAGCTGAATCTGAAGTATCAAGACCTTTAAACAAAAGCTGTCCAACACAACACAGAAAACCACCCAGAGGCAGTCAAGCAGCTTTTTTCTCCCCTTAAAATTTAACATTAGATGCATTACCTTTCACAGTGGTCAATGGCAATGCAATAACGCCTCAATCAATGGTGAGGCTGAAAAGTCACCATAATGAAGTTCCTATGATGAAATTCAAATGGACACAAGGATAAAAATTTTTATCCCATTTTGCCAGAATTATTTCAGAAACTTAATGGGACATTTACCTACATTGTTTATCTTTTTGCCTTCTTTTAAACATTGTGTCATGTGATCAGAGGCTTGTTGCTCCAACTATAGATTGTCAAAATGAAGACCAATGACGAAAAAAAATAGGAGATGGATTGTACAATTATTAGGACTGAGTTGTATAAAAAGCTTGATTAGGATATGTACACTCAAAAACTGTCAAAAGAGCAAGATACTGCAAAGATGAACTGTGGGTAATAAAAGCATATATTCAAACTCTGATTATGAAGCTTTTTTTTATTTACTATGTATGCTACATTAGAGGGATCTATGCAGTTCAATATATTATAATGTGATGTTCAGCCTTAATGGAAAATCAATGGCGAGACAAGACCGCCACCGCTGAGACTATACTAAAGCAATTTCTAAATTGACATATGGAGGGCCTTTGTGATTGATTCTGACTGCTGTTGGATTTTAATACCATTCACTGCGAGCTCATTGACTGTCAGACATCGTCTTGTGGTTTATCTACAAACTGCCAAGTGAGTCCTTGTCTCCTTTTTCTTCTCACTCATCCTTTTTTCCCTGTCCTTTTACAGCCATTTGTCTCAGTTCATGCCGGGGAGAGTGGATAAGTTGAATTACACCAGATATTATAGATAAACGAGCAGAAGACTTTCCAACGATGCATCCTTGTTGTCATCGATCTTATAGGATGCAATTTAGTTTATTTATACTTCTTCTCTACATAATATCTTTACTTTGTACAATGACAACATGTTCATTCACCTGAAATTTTTAAACAAGTGGGACTGCATCAGCTCTCATTATGGAAATCAAAGAAAGCCTGCTATTTGTATTAATTGTTATACAACTTGCAAATAATTATATATTTTAATAACACTAAATAGATCATCAGTGCCACCCACCAGTGGTAATTGTACTACACCATCTCAAATCTGCTCAGGTACTGATTCTAGAGTCCGAGTATATTCTCACTTAGTAATGCATTGCTAGTATTGTTCATAATGAACATCTCTGGCAAGTCCCTTAATACCAGGTGAGAGAGTCCCAAAAAGGTGTTGGGTATGAAAACCTGCTTGACTTTTCAAGACCCTTGCTGGGAAACTTCACAAGGCCAAGATGCTCATTCAAAATGATAAAAGTTTATTTTATTTTATTTTTTATTTTTTAGCAAATAAAATACACTATATGGACTAGAGCCCAACCAATATATTGGCAGGGCTGATATTTTAGGTCGATATAGCCATATGGGGACCTGTTGATCTGTGATAATTGTCCCTTTAGACGCAGATAAAAACAGTTCTAATTTCCACCCCTCAAATGCTGTGAATCAGCCATAATTATACAAAGCATCCAGCAGAGGGCGCATGCAGACTGCTTTCAAGTCATGGCTGTTCACTTAAGTTTCACTTTCATTTTCAGCACTGATGAAACAGGGAGCAGTACTGCGTGGTGTATTTTCTTGAACAGAACATGGTAAGTTTATTTAAACTGATTTGTAAAATAAATTTAAAAATCAACAATAAATTATCTTTAATCCTCCAATCCGCTTGTCATTAGCTACATGCTTCTCAAGTTAGCAAGCTAACGCTAGTGTTCAGTTGCACTGCCTTCACGACATTAGCCCTGTTTCAATAGTTATAGCAAACGAGTCCTGTCAGATTGAGCTTCTAGTTTGTGAGGGCATCCAGTGTTAATATCATTATCTTTGTTGTCCTCAATGAAATGCATTGTTTGTCTGAAATCTTAACTTCTCTGCAAAAAAAAACAACAAAAACACAGCTCTAGTCATTACTAATTAGGCCTTCACCATACATGACTGACTGTGTAAACAATGAACAGGGAAGGGCATTTTTTTATTCATTTATATTTTTGAAACACACTTGATAACTTAATGGTGAATAGTGGAGGATAGAAAATGTGAACGCAGATTAGCAAGACTGTTTTTATGACCAGTGCACCACTTGTAAACTTCCTGTGGGACTAGGTATAGAGTGGATCTGATTAGCTTAGCTTCACGTTTGCTAACAGCTGTGCTAAATAAACAAGCCCCGCTCCACTCGTTGTTTTCTTAAAATTCTTGGGGGTGGACAAAGCCATTATATTGGTTATTGGTGGTCGCCTTTCCCACCCAATATTGGTATCACCAATAGTCAAAATTTCCATATTGGTCGGGCTCTAATACGGATATGTAAAGAACATTGAAAATGTATTTTTCATTGTATGGTGCCTTAAGCTTCAATCAGTGACTGAGGTTAGATAGGTGACCTTTAGGTGTTGCATCAAATGCTCATCAAAATGCTGGTTCGCCTGAACATTTCAATACCCAGATACATTTTAATTTGATGAGATCAAATTGGGTGGGGAGACATACCCAGCAAATAATAGATAACCACAATGTTCACTGAAAACACTTCTCTTATCTTTGCCAAGCGTAGCTTCGAGCTGTCTACTGCAAAAACTCGGTCAATCTAGTCAAACCAGATCTTATCATAAAAATACCTCATGTTACACAAGTGATGTGGCACAGCTCTGAGTGATTATCAGAAACATAATTATGTTTCCTTTCGCGCTGTGTTTTTTGGTGAATACACTGTGGTGTTCAGAGCTTGTGTTTTAGTAAAAAACGACTAGGAAGATTTTTTGCCTTACCTTGCCGAAGTCTCTCACGTCGAAAAGGTCAAATGGGTCAAATAGTTCACAGTTCCGCAAGCCAAACTTGTCATGACACACCTTAAGAAACGTCCGGATGTTCTTGAGACACAGAAACTATAAGGAAAAAAAAGGAGAGGGAAATGTTTTAAGCTTTAAAACGTGTTGGTGTGGTCATTCATTAGTGGATTCAGTACATTTTACATAAGAGAGTTTAATGAGCATATATAAACAAGGAGGATTTTAAAACATCTTGTTCTACCAGTCTGTTTAACATTTCCCATCAATGACAGGAATCTTGAAAATACCTTTATGTTTTAAGTACTTTCCTCCTTTTGCAATGGTTATTATTCAAAACCTCTACACCAGAAGGTGCTCCTGGGTTTGACAGACTATCATTCAGATTTAGACAAGGTGAGCCACAGAGGAGCTGATCTCTTGACACGCTTTGAGCAAACAAAATGTCCTAAAACAAGCCCACTGGCAAAGACCTGCCTCAAGGCACAGTCAGTTTTCCACAATGACCTCAAGCTGAAAGGTCACATGTCTGTCAATCAAACAAACTCACTCAGTTAGGGAAGGATTGTGAATCATTAAAATACATTTTCTATTTCAAGTAAGACATTCAGGAAGAGGAACAAGAACAGACAACGTAAAGCCTTTACACATCGAGTTTAAGTGGCACATATTGTAATTTATTAAAGGAAAAGTAAAGTGCTATGTGTTGTCATCATTGAAAAATTCCATACAATGGCAAAATTAGTTATTGGCATTAGGGATGCATCGATTCACTTTTTTTTTTTTCACTTCCAAACCGCTACCTGCTGTTTAGCATTGCCCGATACCGATCCAATACAGAAAAACAGTGCTGAATTTAAAAAAATGGCTAAAGCATATCATCTGGACCCGTTTCTGAAACAGGTCCAGATGACACGATTTAGCCATTTTTGTTGTCTACCTGGATGTTTGAGCTTACAAACCAAGTGCTGAATTAACTTAAAACATTTGTTTTGTTAAACGCAGACATGAATGTACTGAATTACAAATTTATTGAAAACTCTGCACCAGAACAGCACACAAACACACCAAGAGCTTCACAAGCTTGGCCAAACATGTAAAAACAACACAACTTTCATTTGTTCAGTCAGTATGCTAGCGTGTCACGTCACGCATAGAATTAGTGAATAGATCTGCCCAGTCATGGGTCGCCATTGTCACCAATACCTGATCCAGATGTTTTTCGATATCTGTACCGATACCGATACTGGTATAGGATCAGTGCATCTCTAATCGGCATTTAACCCATCGCACCTGGGATACACCCAGGTGGAGGAGTGGGCAGCTATGTCAGTGCCTGGGGGATTAGGTGTCTTTCTCAGATACACCACGACATGTGGGAATGGCTGGGGATTGAACCTGGGACTTTTGGGTCTCAGGTCAGCTGCCCTACCTCTACTCCATTAGTTAACTGTTCAGTATTAAATGTTTTATAATGCATGTAAACATAAAATTGACCCCTACCTTTGGACAAGTTAAGCATGTATTTATTTTCATGTATGACAAATCCCCATGATTTGTAATTCATTAATGTCAAAGGAGTGTCTAAAATTATTTTGTCTGAAGCCAAATAAGTTGGAAGACAGCATCCAGACTGATAAGCAACCATTGTTTTTCCACTAAAAATGCAATTCCTGTAGCTGTTTCAACACTAGCAACATAAATGAGCAAATACAGTACACACTTGAAAACAATAGTCTTTCTAAAAGTAAAAAGTGAGTGATCTGTTTCTGCCCCAAATATTGATGGTCTCAGTTTGTAAAATATGCCCGAGCAGAGAGAAACCTTGAGCACTGTTGCACAGATTCATTCCAGCAGTATTATAACATAATTGAAAATCATACATGCTGCCATCTCCCATCTTTCTGTGAACCAAGAACACATTACCTAGCATGCAAATCCCGATGCTGCTGTGATCCTCGCTTTCAGCTCTGCATATGAGCGATACGAGCTGATGGCCAGAGAGGCAGATTGCACTCAAGTGATTTGAGGGTGAAAGAAAGAGAGTCTATATAGAACAAAATGCCTGATTGCCTTGATTCTGCTGAAAGCTTTGACAACATACTTCATCTTGGTAATGGCTGTTGTGTAAGACTGGCAGTACAGCCAGCAGCCTTCCAAGCCATATTTCAAGTTGAGTTAATGTTAGCATGCCATAAAGACACAGATAACAGCACTAGACAGTGTTCAGGTATGGACAAAGGCTGATTGCCAATTCACCTCTTTCTCCTACCTCTTAGTCCTACCCTCTATAATTTGCACATTTAAGCCGGGTAAGCCTTAAAGGAAGCAGAAGGCCAAAACTAAATTGTCACAAGCAATGTATTATCTAGTTTAGTAGATGCTTTTATTTAGTTCAAAAGTCAACTGTACTAAAAACCAAAGCAACTGTCATATTTCTCCATTAAAATATAGACTTTTTAAGACACTATGACAATTTCAGCAGTGCAAATTTGTTTTGATGCAGTCCAATGTATAGCTATTGGTTCTATTTTCAAGTCTAAAGCACAAAAAATTACTAAAATCAGGGTTGTATTCCATTGTTACAAGTATTTTATTGTCACAGCAACATTGGCATATTCTGATGTACTTTGTGCCCCCATTGACAGCGCTGTATTTCTCCATTACTATTTTTTTCCAAGTTATGACAACTTATGCAGTGTGTGCTATGAATCTAAATTACCAAGCATAAAAATAGCAAAAGTGCTTTTGTTTTTCCTCATTTTTTATTGTCATATTGTATATTTGTATTGCACATAGTTTGGAGTCTGAGCTGAGCTGCTACAAACTTCGCTCCGTGTCCAGAAGTGGCAGAGCTGCGTGGGTTGTGGGGGATTTGTTAGGAAAGGCGCTCAGTTCTGTTGACATGGTGGGACATCCTCCTTGAATAATGGTAGGGTTTTGCCCCCATCCTAAGGCACTAATTAGCTTTCACAAAGCAAAAACCTCAGTGTCGCCAGTTTCTTGGTATTTTCTGATATTTCAGGGAGCCTCCGAGGGCCACACCTGAGAGCCCTGCTGACTCATTCTCATTCACGCAGGCACATCAGCTCCATCTCCGTGTCACCGGCGCGAACCCCATAAGAGAGCCACACCAGCTATAGTAAAGCAACGCAATTGGTCGGCGAGGCAAAGTGACATTTGCAGTGTGGCAGTGGAGGTTATCGTGCCTGCAGATCCACTCAGCTTATTTTCCCAGCCCAGATATGAAAAGGTAACATTTGCTGGAGTGGTCTGGAAACGTGAGAGAAAGAAAGACAAAGGGCGCTGCAGATACGGATCAGGAGGAGAAAGATGTGTTTGACATTCTTATGTGTGTTTGGCGATATGAGAGCTAGCGTAAGGTTAGGATGAGTTGGAGTGATATAACAAAAAATAAGAATCGTAAAAAATAAACAGAATTTGTAGAGTGGGGAGTGTTAGTACACGCAGGAATAAACTACCGGTAGTCAACTCTTTGGGCTGAGTCTGCCTTGGAACAATCAATCTGCAGGAACCTCTGACATCCAAAGCTAAGGGCAACCCACCCACGCTTTTTTGTTTGTTTTGTCTTGCAGATAATTAATTTACACAGGAAATACCAACAAGGAAATTAAATGATTTTGGTTTTAAAAGCTTCAAGAAAAAAAAAATGTTTGAACAAATTACAAAAAAAAAAATATATATATATATATATATATACTCGTATTTAAACAAGTAAATGGTTATTTTCTAGTTTTGGCTCTCATAGCAAACTGGTTGATCCACTATGAGAAAGTGCTATTTATAAGACTGAGTTTATTGCAGCTCAGACTGATGAAGTCTTTTGGATAAAAGGTGAAACGTTTCAAAAACAAGAATCCGTCCAGAAGACCTTTTACTTAGTTAGATTTTTCTAACTGGATTATTGAGCATGCATCAGGAACTTATTTAAGTGTTTAAGACAATGCACATTTTATAATTTGAAGTGGATTCAGGTTGCTTTTATTAATATTTTTATCATAAGCAAGGAACGTGTGCAATGCTTGATGGACATTCACTTAAAAAAATACATTCTCTGAAAGTAACTGTTTATTAAATCTCTTTTTTCCGCCAACAGATTCATCAAGTAGCGATAAATGCAACTAACGTTGCAGAGAATGTAAACATTGAATTTTCTTTTTTATTCTGCTTCTTCACAAAAACAATTAAATTAAATAAAAATACAGGATCTCATGATTTCTTTGTTGTATAAAATAATGACTTCTTTGTGGTGTTTTTATGATTAAAGCATTGCAACAGAGGTCTACCGCACAAGAAGAAGCTGTACAAATGTGGTTTCTTTTTTTCTTGTTTTAAGACCAATTACTATGGCTTTTATACTTTTGTGTCCCAAAGAGCAGTGTCTGCAAAATAATTATTTTCACATGACAGAAAAACAAAAGATAAAAAATAAAAGTAGAGATGCACGATATTATCGACATGGTATCGATATCGGCCGATATTAGCGATAAGGTTAAATATCGGCCATTCCTTCAAAATAACACAAATATAAAAGGCACTGTTATATTACATATATATATATATATATATATTAATTATATATATTTAATTTCAAAAAATATAGATGTTCATATATATAAAGGTGCTGTTTTTGTATGACAACCCAATGACAAGGATGCCTGCAATGCCAGCACAATGTTATGACTTCGTATGCGCAGTAGAGTTTAGATTTGTGAAAATTTACAAATGTGCACTGTTCGAGTGTTGTCACTGTGTTAGAGAGAGTAAATGCCATGAATAATTTTTTGGTCATGTTTTTTTGTGAAGTTAAAGGAATAATAATTGTTCATCTACTATAGTTAACTTAAATAGATGATATATTGATGGATAAATATGGGTTTAGTTGTTATACTGTATGCATGGATTATACGTGTAATGAATGTAAGATTATGTAAGTGGTTAAGGAGTGGGAATTGTGATAAGTTTATACTTCTACCCACTCCCTTGAATATGTAAAACAAAAAGTTTTGACATTCTGCTTCATGCTATGTATATAAATATATATATATAGATATTTTTTTTTTTTACATATTCAAAAA